GAACCATCACCCACTGCCCCCGTTTGTGGAAAAACTGTCTTCCACGAAACCCGTTCCTGATGCCAAAAAGGTTGGGGACCGCTGTTATAAAGCATTGGAAATAGGGCACCCCATGGAAGAGAGAATTAGGGAGCCCGAAGATAGAAACCTAGACATGATTCTGGTTGAAGAGGAGAGAGAAATAGGGTGTTAAAAAAAATTGAAGAAATTCTAAAAGAACTATTGGAATCTATTAGGAAGGACAACATAAGGATAATGGGTATCCCACAAGGAGAAGAGAGGGAGAAGGGAACAGAGTTCATTTAAAGAAATAATAACTGAGAACTTCCTAAACCTGGGAAAGGAACTGGATATATAAGTGCATGAAGCTAAGAGAATACCTAATTACCTCAATGCAAAAAGACCTTCTCCAAGACACATTATATTAAAACTGCCAAAAGTCAATGACAAAGAAATCCCCATATGCTGTTGGTGGAAATGTAAACTGGTTCAGCCACTATGGAAAAGAGTATGGAGATCTGCTTCATTTCTGGGTATTTATACAAAAAATATGAAAACACTAATTTAAAAAGATATATGCACTGCTATGTTCACTGCAGCATTAAAATAGCCAAGATATGGAAACAACCTATGTGGCCATAAACAGATGACTGGATAAAGATGATGTGGTATATATACAATGCAATACTACTTAGTGAAAGAGAGAGAGAGAGAGAAAGAAAGACAGGAAGGAAGGAAGGAAGGAAGGAGGGAGGGAGGGAGAAAGGAAGGAAAGAAAGAAATCTTGTCATTTGCAACATGGGTAGACCTTGAGGGTATTATGCTAAGTGAAATAAGCCAGTCAGAGAAAGACAAATACTGTATGGTTCCATTCACATGTGGAATATACAAACAAACAAACAAAAACAAAAACATAGATACACAGAACGGAGTAGTGGTTACCAGAAGGGAAGCAGAGTGAAGGGAGGGCAAGATGGGTAAAGGGGGTCAACTGTATGGTGAACGGATGGAAACTAAACTTTTGGTGGTGAGCACACTGCAGTGTATACAAAATGTGATGTTGTACACATGAAACATATATAATGTTATAAACCAATGTTACATCAATAAAGCATTTAATTTTAAAATAAATAAATAAGGGAAGAGTGGATGGTTAACCAAAAAAAGGTAAAATGCTATAAGCTATTTTTTTTTTTAAGAGGTAAAATATATTAGCTGTATAATTGTATTTATTTTAAACCATTTATAATTTTTAATGAATATTGGAGACCAAATGAAATGTATAGCATGATGTTTTTAATCCAGTGTGAGTGGGAAACAAATAGTACATGAAATTATGACCCCACCATTTTGTTCCTGCTCTTTTGAGCCAGAACCTTTTAACTCTCAGTTTATTAAAGAATATTTTAACCCATTTATACCAACATTGATGGATTTTCATCAAAAGGTGTTTTCTGATATTATTCCAATTAAGCAAATATAATTCTTTGATTAATATTACTATAAGCTATTCTTCTAAGATCAGGAACCAGACAAGGATGCCTACTCTCCCCACTTTTATTTAACATAGTACTAGAAGTCCTAGCCAAAGCAATTAGACCAGAAAAATAAAGGCATCGATTTTGTAAAGGAAGAAGTTAAATTGTCTCTATTTACAATGATAGGATCTTATATGTAGAAAATCCTAAAGACTACACCAAAAACTGTTAGAACTAATAAACAAATTCAGTAAAATAGCAAGATACAACTTAGTGTATAGAAATCAGTTATGTTTCTATAAACTAACAATGAACTATCTGAGAGAGAAATGATAAAAATAATCCACTTAGGGCTTCCCTGGTGGCGCAGTGGTTGAGAGTCCGCCTGCCGATGCAGGGGACACGGGTTCGTGCCCCGGTCCGGGAGGATCCCACATGCCATGGAGTGGCTGGGCCCGTGAGCCATGGCCACTGGGCCTGCGTGTCCGGAGCCTGTGCTCCGCAACGGGAGAGGCCACAACAGTGAGAGGCCCGCATACCGCAAAAAAAAAAAAAATCCACTTATAAAACCATCAAAAAGAACAGAATACTTAGTAATAAATTTGACCAAAGAGGTGAAAGATCTGTACATCAGAAACTATAAAACACTGATTAAAACGAATGGAAGAAACACAAATAAAAAGATATCCTGCAGTCATGGATTAGAAGAATAAATATTCTCTAAATGTCCACATTACCTAAAGCAATCTACTGATTCAATGTAATCCTTATCAAAATTCTAATGACATTTTCACAGAAATAGAAAAAGGAATCTTAAAATTCATATGGAACCACAAAAAAACCTTGAACAAACCAATCTTGAGAAAGAAAACACAGCTGGAGGCACCACACTTTCTGATTTTAAACTATATTACAAAGATACAGTAATAAAAACAGTAGAATACTGGCATAAAAACAGACACATAGATCAATGGAACATCATGAATACAGCAGAAATACAGATGGTCCCCAAATTATGACAGTACTATTTACAGTTTTTTCCACTTTACAATGGTAGAAAAGCCATATGCATTGAGTAGAAACTGTACTTGGAATTTTGAATTTTGGTCCTTTCTTAGACTAGCAATATGCAGTATGATACTCTCTCATAATGCTGGGCGGCAGCAGCAAGCCACAGCTCCCAGTCAGCCATGCAATCATGAGGATAAACAACCAATACATTTACAACCACATTCTGTACCCATACAACTATTCTGTTTCTCACTTTCAGTACAGTATTCAATAAATTACATGAGATATTCAATGTTTATAATAAAATAAACTTTGTAGCAGGTGATTTTGCCCAACTATAGACTAATGTATGTGCTCTAAGCATGTTTAAGGTAGGCTAAACTAAACTATGCTATTTAGTAGGTTAGATGTATTAAGCACATTTTTGACATATAACATTTTCAACTTAAAATGGGTTCACTGGGATGTAACCCCATTGTAAGTTGAGAAAGATCTGTAAATCCATGTATCTACAGTCACTCTCTTTGACAAGGGTGCCAAGAATACACAGTGGGAAAATGACAGTCTCTTCAATAAATGGTGCTGGGAAAACTGGATTCATTCAATAAATGGTGCTGGGAAAACTGGATACATACAAAAGAATATAATTTGATCCTTATCTTACACCATTCATAAAAATTAATTCAAAATGGATTAAAGACTTAAATGTAAGACCTCAAATCATAAAGCTCCTAGTAAAAAACATAGAGGAAAAGTTCCTTGACATGGTCTTGGCAATAATTTTTGATACGACACCAAACACACAGGCAATAAAAGCAAAAATAAACAAGTTAGACTACATCAGTATAAAAAAGCTTCTACACAGGAAAAGGAACAATCAACAAAATGAAAAGGCAACCTACAGAATGGGAGAAAATATTTGTGAAATATATCTGACAAGGTGTTAATACCCAAATTATATAAGGAACTCAAACAACTCAATAGCTAATAATAATAACAGTAATAATAACCCAATTAAAATGGGTAAAAGACCTGAATAAACATTTTTCCAAAGAAGACGTACAAATGGCCAACAGGTATGCGAAAAGGTACTCGACATCAGGGAAATGAGATATCACCATACACCTGTTAGTATGGCTATTACCAAAAAGACAAGAGATAACAAGTATTAGTGAGGATGTGGAAAAAAGGAAACCCTTATACACTGTTGATGGAAATGTAAACTGGTACAGCCATCATGGAAAACAGCATAAAAGTTCCTCAAAAAATCAAAAACAGAACTACCATGTGATCCAACAATTTCACTTCTGGGTATATATCCAAAGGAAATGAAATCAGTATCTCAAAGAGATATCTGCATTCCCATGTTCACTGCAATATTATTCACAATAGCCAAGATATGGAAACAACCTAAGTGTCTATCAATGGATAAACAGATAAAGAAAAGATGATGTATACAACAGAATATTATTCAGCCAATAAAGGTGAAAATCCTGCCATGTGCAAAAACGTGAATGAACCTGGAGGATATTATGCTAAGAAAAAGTAAGCCAGACACAAAAAGACAAATACTGCATGATCTAACTTACATGTGAAATATAAAAAAGTCAAACTCATAGAAACAAAGAGTGGAGGGATGGTTGTCAGAGGCTGGGGTGGGGGAAATGGGAAGATGTTGGTCAAAGGGTACAAACTTTCAGTTATGATATGAACAAGTTCTGGGGATCTAAAGTATCAATACAACATGGTGACCATAGTTAACAATGCTGTATTGTATACCTGAACTTTGCTAAGAGTAGTTAATTAGCTCGATTGTGGAAATCATTTTGCAATTTGATTTCACAATATGAAATGATGTTGTACACCTTAAATATATAAATTTATATTTGTTAATTATATCTCAATAAAATGGGAAAAATTAAAGTTGTTCAAAAAGGGAAAAAATTCCTTTAGGCACTTCTTTTGTCTAAATAGCATAGATCTTTTTCTAAATCTAACCTTGTAAAGAACTTCTCAGACTAGAAATTTTCTCAGCCTTTCTTATCAAATTTCTAGAATTTATGCTATACTTCAACAAATATAGTTCCCATCTCCCCTACCCTAGCATTAGAATGCTGCATATTCAGAATAAGGAAAGATTTCTGCAAAAACATACCTACCATTCAAAGTGGACTCTTCTTAAGAAAACTAATATTCAATCCTAGGCCAATTTATGCTGGCTGTGCCTGCTGCAAATCCCTTCCCATGAAGTCCAGACACTTATCCAGAATTTTTTATTGATGAAATCCATAGCTTTACTGCCTTTGCTACTGCTCACACTGTCTTCACTTTTCTCAGTCCTTCTCCCCTATTGTACAAATTTGTCTCACTTTTAACCTTTTTAAAATATTTTAATTTTAAACTTATAGCTGGTGGCACAGAAATTTCAAAAATAAAGCTTCTCTAAGAGAAATAAGATGGAGGACCCAATATCTTCTCTGAAATTCACTCTGCCCACCATCTTGCTCATACCTGTGACCTCTCGGCACTTTAGCAGGAGGAGAAGCCCATATCTCAGTGTGGCGTTCGTTTTCTCTGTCCCAGCTCCAAACAAATCAGTTACAGTGGCTATCAAGTTTTCAAAAGTAAACTCCATCTGTTGATTGTGCTTTTCCTAGGAATTATTTGATGTAATTATCTGATAGTTTGCCAGCATATATAATTACAGTCAATCCAAAATAACATACATTGTTATGAAGCTAAGCAAACTTAGACGCTGGAGTACAGTATTGAAACAACAACTGTACGGTATGGCAAAGTGTGTGGATTGGGCTGACACAATCTTCATTACCTACTCCTTTTCCCTTGCTTGCCTAAAAATTTCATTCCAAGCCTCTTTTGCAGCTACATTGGCCAAGCAACACACTTCTTACCAATGGCCTACTGATGCCAGTTTCTCCCTTTCTTTCTTCATACTCAAAACACAGATATGGGGCTTCCCTGGTGGCGCAGTGGTTGAGAGTCCGCCTGCCGATGCAGGGGACACGGGTTCGTGACCCGGTCTGGGAGGATCCCACATGCCGCGGAGCAGCTGGGCCCGTGAGCTATGGCCGCTGAGCCTGCGCGTCCGGAACCTGTGCTCCGCAACGGGAGAGGCCACAACAGTGAGAGGCCCGCATACCGCAAAAAAAAAAAAAAAAAAACAAAACCCACAGATATGAAGGTGAAGGTGGTGTAGACGTCATCTTGGAACATGAGTATCTGAGCATGAAGATGAAGCCTATATACTTAAGAATGCTGAAGAAAAATGGAAGGCACTTGAGTCCATGATACTTCAAGGCTAGCTCTGGACTGCCCAACATGAGACTCTCTCTATGTGAGATAAATAAGCCCACTGTTTCTTTAAGCCTTTGTTAATTTTTTTTCTTATTGGTAGGCAAACACAATCTTAATTGATAGAAATGAGCAAATTAGAGCTATATTTTGAAAACCATTATAAGAGAGAATGAAGAGTTTGCAATTCTCTTCTCCCACTGAAGAATTTATGTGGATTCTGTGTTGCCTAAAGATCCATTATGAAGTTGAAAATGTGCAAAAACTAACATGGCAGCACATCCTAGAATAGATTATAGAGAAAGAGAATGGATTCACAAAGACAAAACGGGGCTGGCCACTACTGTATTCCAAGATATGAGGCAATAGGCAACTTGGTCTAGGAAACAAGTGCAGATGCTAAGGGTCAGGAAGTGACTGAATAAAGCTCTCACAAGTCAGAAGTTGGGAGAGTAAAAGCCCTTCACAGGGACAACTAAGGTTCGTTTAGATGAGGGATATATGTGATTCAAAATAGAAAATAACAATGGGACAATCTGTAATAATGACTACAGAGGTCATTAACAAACCAAAAAATAATTTCTTCCTATCCAGTCCTCTAGACCAGCACTAATTTAATAAGGCTCTTATAATCCCCAAATGACCTGTGGCATGCCCAATATTATGTAATCCAACACCATTAAGATAGACAACCCTATCGACAGTTGTACTTGGTAGATAAAAGTAGTCATCCTCATTGGTAACATCAACTTCACACAGTTTTCTAACCTTTTCAACTCAAAATTACTCTGAGGCCAAGAAGGAGAGCAGAGTTCTTATAAACCATTATTACTATTTCCATCTGTTCAAGTGAATTTGAAGCATCAGTGGTTATGTACACATAGCCTATCAAAAATAAGTTAGCCTGTACAAAACCTTGCTGAAAGAAATTAAAGAAAAACTAAATACATGGAAATACATCCCATGTTCATCTATTGAAAGACTTAGTATTCTTAAGATGGCATTACTCCCGAACTGACCTACAGATTCAACATGATCCATATCAAAATCACTGTTAGCTTTTTGCAGAAACTGATGAGATTGTCCTAAAATTCATGTGGAAATTTAAGTGACCAAGAATAGATAGAACAATCTTGGAAAGAAGAACAAAATTGGAAGACTCACACTTCCCATATTAAAAATTACAATAAAGCTATGGTAATCAAGATTGTGTGGTACTAGCAAAGAGCAAGATATATAGACAAGTGGAATAGAACTGAGAGTCCAAAAGTAAACCCTTCACATCTATAACTAATTTTCAACAAAGTTGCCAAGATCATTCTATCTGAAAAGAATAGTCTTTTCAACAAATGGTGCTGGGACAAATGGACACCCACATGCAAAAAAATGAAGTTGGACCCATACCTCACACTATTATCAAAAATTGATTTAAAATGGATCATAGACCTAAATATAAGAGCTAAAACTATAAAACTATTTGAAGAAAACTTGGAGGGAATCATTGTGACCTTGGATTAGATAACAGTTTCTTAGATATGACACCAAAAGCACAGGCAACCAACGAAAAAGATTAATAAATTGGATTTCATGAAATCGAAAACTTCTGAATTTCAAAACACACTATCAAGAAAGTAAAAGGACAGGGACTCCCTGGTGGTCCAGTGGTTAAGACTCTACACTTCCTATGCAGGGGGCGCAGGTTCAATCCCTGGTCAAGGAACTAAGATCCTACATGCCTGCATGGCATGGCCAAAAAATATATAAAATAAAATAAAATAGGGCTTCTCTGGTGGTACAGTGGTTGAGAGTCCGCCTGCCGATGCAGGGGACAAGGGTTCGTGCCCCGGTCCGGGAAGATCCCCATGCAACGGAGCAGCTAGTCCCGTGAGTCATGGCTGCTGAGCCTGCGCGTCCGGAGCCTGTGCTCCGCAACGGGAGAGGCCACAACAGTGAGAGGCCTGCGTATCGCAAAAAATAAAAAATTTAAAAAATAAAGTAAAAAGACAACCCATAAAATGGGACAAAATGTCTGCAAATTATATATCTGATAAGGCACTCACTTGTATCTATAACACTGAAGAACTCTTACATCTCAACAATTTAAAAATAAAAACAGAAATAAACAAATAGGACCTAATTAAACTTAAAAGCTTTTGCACAGCAAAGGAAATCATAAACAAGACGAAAGAAAACCCTTAGAATGGGAGAAAATATCTGCAAATGAAGCAACTGACAAAGGATTAATCTCCAAAACATACAAACAGCTCATGTAGCTCAACATCAAAAAAACAAACAACCCAATCCAAAAATGGGTGGAAGACCTAAATAGACATTTGTCCAAAGAAGACATACAGATGGCCAACAAACACATGAAACGATGCTCAACATCACTAATTATTAGAGAAATGCAAACCAAAACTACAATGAGGTATCACCACACACCCGTCAGAATGGCCATCATTTAAAAATCTACAAACAATAAATGCTGGAGAGGGTGTGGAGAAAAGGGAACCCTCTTGCACTGTTGGTGGGAATGTAAATGGATACAGCCACTATGGAGAACAGTATGGAGGTTCCTTAAAAAACTAAAAATAGAACTACCATATGACCCAGCAATCCCAGTCCTGGACATATACCAGGAGAAAACCATAATTCAAAAAGACACATGCACCCCAATGTTCATTGCAGCACTATTTCCAAGAGCCAGGACCTGGAAGCCACCTAAATGTCCATCAACAGAGGAATGGATAAAGTAGATGTGGTATATATACAATGGAATATTACTCATCCATAAAAAGGAACGAAATTGGGTCATTTGTAGACATGTGGATGGACCTAGAAACTGTCATACATAGTGAAGTAAGTCAGAAAGAGAAAAACAAATATCGTATATTAACGCACATATGTGGAATCTAGAAAATGGTATAGATGATCTTATTTGCAAGGCAGAAATAGAGACACAGGTGTAGAGAACAAATGTATGGACACCAAGGGGGGAAGGGGGGGTGGGATGAATGGGGAGATTGGGATTGACATTTACACACTATTGATACTCTGTATAAAATAGATAACTAATGAGAACCTACTATATAGCTCAGGGAACTCTACTCGATACTCCAATAAAAATTAATTTTAAAAAATAATAGCCAAATTCAAAAATGGGCAAAGCACTGAAATAGACATTTTTCCAAAGAGATACATAAATGGCCAACAAGAACATGAAAGATGCTCAACATCATTAGCCATCAGGGAAATGCAAATCAAAACCACAAGGAAAGACCACTTCACACCTACTAGGATGGCTAGAATCAAATGGACAGACAGGACTTCCCTGGTGGCGCAGTGGTTGAGAGTCCGCCTGCCGATGCAGGGGACATGGGTTCGTGCCCCGGTCCGGGAAGATCCCACATGCCGCGGAGTGGCTGGGCCCATAAGCCATGGCTGCTGAGCCTGCGCGTCCAGAGCCTGTGCTCTGCAATGGGAGAGGCCACAACAGTGAGAGGCCCGCGTACCGCAAAAAAAAAAAAAAAAAAGGACAGATAATTAGAAGTACTGTAAAGGATGTGAATAAATTGTACCCTTCATACACTGCTGATGAGAATATAAAATGGTGGAATTTTATGCATAAGTTTTCTTCTAAGGGTTTTATAGTTTCAGCTCTTACATTAAGCCTTTGATCTGCCACACTTCCTCCAAAGGTTAAATATAAATTTATCATAGACCCAACAATTCTACCACTAGGTATATACCCAAGAGAAATTAAAACATATGTATACACAAAAACCTGTACACAAATGTCCACAGAAACATTATTCATAATAACCAAAAAGCGACGCGACCAAAATGTCCATCAACCAATAAACAGATATATAAAATGTGGTATATCCACACTGAAATATCATTCAACCATTTAAAAGAGTGAAGTACTGATATATGATACATCATCAATGAACCTTGAAAACACTGTTAAGTGAAAGAAGCTAGACACAAAAGATGTTATCATACATATTGTATGAACTATACATATTGTATAATTACATTAATATGAAATGTCCAGAATAGCAAATCTATAGGGATGGAAAGTAGATTGGAAATGTTTAGAGCTCGGGAGGTTGGGGAGGAAAGGGGGTGACTCCTAAAGCATACAGGATTTCTTTTCAAGGTCATAAAAGTGCTCAGAAACTGAGTGTGCTGGCAGCTGGATAATCTTCCCCAGTAATTATTTGCATTCTACTCTTGTTCTGGCTCATACATCTACCTGATCAAATCACAACTTCTCCTGCCAACATTCACGTTTACAGTTACTTGACAGACACCAACCTCCCACTCCACATCTGTCCAAATTTATTTTTGGTTACACTCGTTTAAGCCTTCTCTCTTCCATCCATCTAGTCTCTTTACCACAACACACCTCTGAACCTCTCATGACACCATTCTACCAACCTGAAATTCCCTCCCCTATGACTTATTGCAAATATTTGAAGATCTACATCAAACCTCAGGACATTCAGGAAGCCCACCCAGGCTAAGCCCTTCCTTCTCACTCTCCCACATGCTGTGTGAAATGATCACATCCACCTTCCTTTTATGGCTCAGTATTTTGTATTTCTCATTTGTTTGTATTTCCATTTCACCCGAGACATATGTTCTCCTTCTCCTCAGGTAGCCTATTAGTACCTAACGAACAGGGTCCATGTATTGTTATTTAACAATTCAATTTTAAATCTCCTTTGATGCTCAATCCAGATCCATGCACACATAAGTACCCAAAGTGCTGGTCAAGCATTTCGTCCGTAACCATTTAAATATCCCTAATAAGTACAGAACTAGTCAATGAACAAAAAAATTCAGGCAAACAGACAACCAATCTGTCATTAATATTTTACCTGTTCCATTTTGATCGGGAAACAATCAATGAAATCCCGAGGATTGTTAATGTCCAGAGATGCTTGGTGTTCTTTTATTTCTCTAAAACATAGCTTTTTACATAAGCAAACATTTTAAGTACTTTGTTATGACTCCCTGGGAGATAGTCCATGAGAGCAGGGAAATTATTGCAGACCTTAAAGATTTTAAAAATATATTTATTAAACTGAAAACACATATTGAAGACATATCTATCATATGCCAAGCCCTGGTTAAAAACTGAAGCGAATATAATATGGTCTCTTTCTTCAGGAGGAGCATTTTATAGTGTACATGTAAAATAATTCTTCATGCTGCTAGAGTATTTAAGGGAGAAAACTCTGACCAGATGATGAAAGTTGATAGGTTGATACATCAACCTTATGATATTAAAGCATATTTATATCAATTCTCTCACTTTTTAAATTAATTCTTCCTTATAACCTTGAAACACAGAATAAGATGAATTACTATGATTCACATTTTGTAGAAAAGGGCAGAGGTTAAGGAATTTTGCGTAACCTGATACTGAACACAAACCCACTCCCTGCTATTTCTACTACTATCAAGCAGCCTCAGAAATAGAATCGCTATATTATAACCCAGAGGGGTGCAAAAATGGCATGAAACCCACCTCAGCATTTTAGGGATAAAGCAGCTGTGCACCAGAGCAGGTAAGTGACTTTTCTAATATCATGTGATTTTATTTAGGCAGAGGACAGGACATATCAGCTCAGCACAGGGCAAAACTGTGGTGTCTGTTTATGATTCATACACCATAGAACCAATCATTTTGTCATCCCAAGCCCAATTACGCTGTCAGCTAGGATCCCAACTGAAGCAACAAACACCCCTGCCCTAGTCAGTGTTCCCTGGCAGCACCTCTGTTCATAAACATTGTCCCTCCTTGAAAGAGATATTCTCTTCCTTCCTAAATTAGGATATTTCTGCTAAGTAACGTGATGAAGAAATCACTGCATATTTGAGGATAAGCCTTGTGGGTAATGGAAACCTTTCAGCAAGGACCTGGATGTCCACTGGGTGCTATGGCCATCCTTTTGGGCAGTCACCAAAGTAGTTTATGGAAATTGGGCTTTGGGGGGTAGTGGAAAAACCACTGGCCAGGGAGCCAACAAGGCCTGAATTCCAGCTTTATACTCAGGCATTTCTTTTCTTCGTAAAATAAAGGCTCAGCCACCTTTCCCAGATGTTAACTCTATGACAGTAAGGCAGGACTGCTGTGTTCAAACACTCACTTACAGCATAACATCAGCAAAACTGATGCAGTAGACAGTTCTAAAGGCCTATCCCTCTACACAAATGTCAGAAAATCAAGCAGAAACTGTCAGAATCTACTTAAAAAATGGCAGCAGAGATCTGTGGCTTGTTTTTTCTTTTTCCTTTTTTTTTTTTTTTGCCCTTGTCCCACTTCCATCCTCGGCTTGGCAGTGGTCTTAACAAGGGCAGCTTGTGGTGTGGGAGCCTGGTTCCTGGTTCCAGAGGGACCAGAGCAGACCTCAGTCACGAAGACTGTGTTTCTGTGTTCTAAACTGTCTGGGGCCACCTGACAGACTGACACAGGCACTTGTTTTTGTTTCATCTAACCTAGAGTGGAAATGCAGCAGGGATGTCTCAAAAACCTTGCAAGATTAATGAACAGCCCACAGCCACCTGGGGCAAAATATTACAGTTAAGGCATACAACAGAGCATCAAACTCCAGGAAGAAAAGCTGCAGAGGGAGTGCCTTTGGGAAATTAGGACATTCAAAAGCACCCCTGTATACTGAAAAATTTAGAAAGCTACACACATGCACAGAGCCAATCTGGAAGAGTTATTTCCTTCCTCCCTCCCTCCCTCCCTCCCCCTTTCCTCTCTTCCTTTCTCTCTCTCTCTCTCCCCATCTCTTTCTCTTCATCTTTTTTTTCTTTTTGCCTCCTCACATTCAAAGATATCAATATCCGTAGACTCCAGATAGAGAACAAACTAGTGGTTATCAGAAGGGAGAGGGAAGGAGGGAGGGGCAGTATAGGGGTAGTGAGGGAAAAAGGGTTATTACAGGATTATATGAAATCATGTGTGTGAAACTTTTGAAAATTGTAAAGCAATACAGAATTTAAAGACCCTTTCATTCAATTTAAAAGAATGAAACAAAAAGAAAAGCAAAAGAAAGATCTATCACTCCTAAAAAAAAGGACATCTCTCTCCAAACACTAGCTGGACGTAAGCTAAAGGAACAGAGATTCCAGTGACCACACGAGGCAAAAAAGAAAAAAAAGAAGAAAGTAAAAACATGGGGACAGAGAGAGAGAAAAAAAAAAAAAAAAAAAGGGGAGAAAAAAGAAAAAAAAAAAAAAAAAAAAAAAACCAAAGGGAGGGGAGAATCTGATTCCCAGAGTTACCACGTTGTAATATCCAAAATGTCCAGTTTTCAAACATTCACTTCATGGCTTGGTCCATATAGAATTTTGGACTTGTCAGAGAAAAGAGCATAAACAATTTCTCAGGAAGAGAGGATCCTGACCTCACCTGGATCCATGGGGAGCGCATAAATCCTGAGGTTTTCATTAAAGTTTCCTAGCAAGTTAAGAAAATTCTGATCTGTATAATCAAAACGATTCTGGAAAATAATGGAGCAGATCACATTGCAGGGAGCACAGCCCAGGATGAAAGTGGGGTCACAGGGTGACCCTAAAGAATTGAAAAGATTTATAAAACACTATTAAGATATAAATATAAAACTCTGTTGTGGATAACAGATAATTTTAGAATCTCTGAAGCAATATCTACCTAGAAATTTCCCTATCAGCAAACATTTAAGCATGCTTAAAATCAACACATCACTGTTCCCTTAAACATGAATTGACAAAATGGATTAAAGACCTAAATGTAAGGCCAGACACTATAAAACTCTTAGAGGAAAACAGGCAGAACACTCTATGACATAAATCACAGCAAGATCCTTTTTGACCCACCTCCTAGAGAAATGGAAATAAAAACAAAAATAAACAAATGGGACCTAATGAAACTTAAAAGCTTTTGCACAGCAAAGGAAACCATAAACAAGACGAAAAGACAACCCTCAGAATGGGAGAAAATATTTGCAAATGAAGCAACTGACAAAGGATTCATCTCCAAAACATACAAGCAACTCATGCAGCTCAATATCAAAAAAACAAACAACCCAATCCAAAAATGGGCAGAAGACCTAAACAGACATTTCTCCAAAGAAGACATACAGATTGGCAACAAACACATGAAAGAATGTTCAACATCGTTAATCATTAGAGAAATACAAATCAAAACTACAATGAGATATCATCTCACACCAGTCAGAATGGCCATCATCAAAAAATCTACAAACAATAAATGCTGGAGAGGGTGTGGAGAAAAGGGAACCCTCTTGAACTGTTGGTGGGAATGTAAACTGATACAGCCACTATGGAGAACAGTATGGAGGTTCCTTAAAAAACTAAAAATAGAACTACCATACGACCCAGCAATCCCACTACTGGGCATATACCCTGAGAAAACCATCATTCAAAAAGAGTCATGTGGGGCTTCCCTGGTGGCGCAGCAGCTAAGAATCCGCCTGCCAATGCAGGGGACACGGGTTCGAGTCCTGGTCTAGGAAGATCCCACATGCCGTGGAGCAACTAAGCCCATGTGCTACAACTACTGAGCCTGTGCTCTAGAACCCGTGAGCCACAACTGCTGAGCCCATGTGTCACAACTACTGAGCCTGCACGCCTAGAGCCCGTGCTCCACAACAAGAGAAGCCACCGCACTCAGAAGCCCGCACACCGCAACCAAGAGTAGCCCCCGCTCGCCGCAACTAGAGAAAGCCCGCGCGCAGCAACGAAGATCCAACGCAGCCAAAAATAAAAATAAAATTAAATTAAAAAAAAGTCATGTACCACAATGTTCACTGCAGCTCTATTTACAATAGCCAGGACATGGAAGCAACCTAAGTGTCCATCGACAGATGAATGGATAAAGAAGATGTGGCACATATATACAATGGAATATTACTTAGCCATAAAAAGAAACGAAATTGAGTTATTTGTAGTGAGGTGGATGGACCCAGAGTCTGTAATACAGAGTGAAGTAAGTCAGAAAGAGAAAAACAAATACCATATGCCAACACATATATATGGAATCTAAAAAAAAAGAAAAAGAAAAAAAATGGTCAGAAGAACCTAGGGACAAGACAGGAATAAAGATGCAGACCTACTAGAGAATGGACTTGAGGATACAGGGAGGGGGAAGGGTAAGCTGGGACAAAGTGAGAGAGTGACATGGACATATATACACTACCAAATATGAAATAAATAGCTAGTGGGAAGCAGCCACATAGCAAAGGGAGATCAGCTCCGTGGTTTGTGACCACCTAGAGGGGTGGGATAGGGAGGGTGGGAGGGAGGGAGACGCAAGAGGGAAGAGATATGGGAACATATGTATATGTATAACTGATTCACTTTGTTATAAGGCAGAAACCAACACACCATTGTAAAGCAATTATACTCCAATAAAGATGTTAAAAAAAACCAAACATGAATTGACCATTCCATCCTAGTTTGTTTAATAATAGTTCTCCAAATACTCCATTTACATCACTGCGTTAAAGTCAAGGTGCTGGTTATTTTGTAGAGCGAAAGAAGAGAAAAAATTTTAAGGGTCAGTTTTTTAAGACAATAATTCAGGTTATCTATCAGTGCAAAATCACGTCTGTCTGGTAAACTTGTAGACAATTAAGCACTGACGTAGGAAGGAAGCAATAGTTAGGAACCTGGAAACGTTTTATATATAGTGAATAGCTGAAGGAACAACTTGTACAATCAGGAAAGGAAAAGATTAAAGAGAGAAAGATTATGGAAAAAGTCAGGTGTTTGATGGTACAAAGAAAAAAAAGCAAAAGCTGTCCATGTTGTACGAGAAGAAAACTAACACAAATGAACATGAATTGTAAGATAGATTTGTTTGCCGAAAATAAAAATAGGTAAGAATTCTGCATTTCAAACAAATCACAGGGCAAACAAGAAAGATTAAATTGAGAAATGGAGTCCTTTTGTTTCTTTATTGCAGTATGCAGAGCAGGTGTGGGGAGGAACATCCTGCTCTAAGATATAGTGTCCCTCATCACCAATCAGGCCTCACATTTAATTTATTTGGACAGAACACGCCCTCTTGTGGAATTCTGGGATATTGCTACATATAGCCATCAACGGAATACCATATGTTGTTACAAATTTTTTAATTTGAATTTAGATGAAGTCCATCATTTTACAGACAAATAAATTAAAGCAGAGGAAAAGTAGTTTTCTTTTTTAGTGGTTAATATTTACATGAAATTGCTATAATCGGATGATCGATAAACTTTATATGCAAAAAACCCAAATCACATCATACATGTAATTAAGGGTGACTTGAATCAAAGTGTTGTGATGAAATGATAGGGAATTAAGTAATAGGAACCTATTTAGTTAAGTGCTCGTATGCCAGGCTCCTTTTCAGCTGAACCAAGTCATGGTTGTTAGTGTCATGCCAAGACACTAAGCTTGCAGAAAAACTTTTACTTTAGAAGGTAGGGGATAATTTGAGAAGGCCTTAAGATTTGTGTGTGTGTGACAGCTAAAATCTGATTTTTAATCTTTCCTTTCACTTGAGAGAGAGACTTACAAAGCAGGGTAATTTGGAATTCAGACGGAAAATAAGATCCATCTTAACAAGCACTTCATAGGTCAGTACAGCTGACAGTAAGGGGTAAAATATTACCAAAGTACCAAAATTGGTAAAAAATTACCAATTACCATCCAATTGTTTTAAAATGTACTTGGGTTTTACTTTTATTCAGATGGTAAAGCCAACAGATCAGGAGATGATAAGGTAGTTTATTACTCATACTTCCCAAGAGGAGGGGGCACCCTACACAAGGCCACATGGGGAAGCACCGAGGTCAGTCAGGAGGCAGAAGGAACAAGGGGAGAGCATGGGCCAAAGCCTTTACTGGGGTTTTCATGGAAGAAATGAGCAAGGCTGGGTAGGTATGCTCAGTAAGTTTAAGACTGGATAGTTTGGGTAATTTCAGAGGGCTCTAGGCCCCAGGGGTGGTCCCTAGCTGTCCTGTAACTGGCCCTGGGTTGATTTAGGGCAGGGAGAATATTGGCTTGGCGTGTGAGGGTTTCATAAAGGAGGTTTCCTGGGGGTATCGGCTTTGGATAGGCTAGTTTGAAAATCAAAGGAGTGCTCACATACAAGATGCGATGCTTTACCTCAGAATTAGCTAACCCTGGGAGAGGCAGTTGCTCCCTGGGTCTGCAAGTCCCCCAAAATGTCAAAGTATCATAAAGTAGAGAAAAGAGAAAACATGATTATTATATCAATAATGGGGGAGGGAAGTATAAAGAAAGCTGAAAACAGAAGAAACTAATAGGGAAGGCAGGGTAATGAGTTATTAATAATAGTTGAAATCTGTTTAAACAGATCATTTTATAACCTGGTATTTGTGTAATGTTCAGGATTAAGCCACAGCATCTATTTCTTAAAATATATAAAACAACACTAAATAGGGAGCAACATTAAGTAACTGAAGCTGCTAATTTTAAAACAGTTATTTATAAGGAAATCACAATTGATGAGGTCTGCACTAAGGGATGCCTAAGCAATTAAAATCATAGACAATTATCATTACTGGCCAGAACAGTAGGCAATGGGTCTCAGAAGAAACCCTCAGACATGTGCCTGAGGCGACCATACAAATATAGGCCAATTAAGTGAAAGCACATGTCATTTGTTTCACGCTCCATAAGGGTGTGATGAGGTCATTCCCACCATGTCCACTTGATGAAATGTTCTGGAATACATAACCCACATTTACACTATGGGAAAAAACATTATTCTTTAATGCCAGAAAAAAACGAGACTCAAAACCTTCCACCTTCATGACCTAATGATTTGAAAACAAAAAGTTCAGGACAGGATAGGATTAAATGACCTTTAATCCACACTATATGCACCATAGTGGGTGTACACACACAACAAGCACAGATACACAAAAGCCCTCTAGGCTCTCTCCTCTCTCTCCCCACTCCACAGGAGGGCTGACAACCATGACCCATATGAAAGATGTGGCTGTCCCTGAAATGTTTCCTAGGATGTCACTGGAGAAGACAGCAGTCTGTTAAGGTGAGAGTGACAGAGCGTAGCATCACCCACCACTGGTTTTTCTCAACTCCTCCACAAGGCAGTGGGTTTCCTCTTGAACTCGGTCCTCAATGCTCTTCTTCCCCACCCCGAATTCCACAGTGTCATGAGGGAGATGCGCCAGATCTCCTTCCATCTCTTTCCATTGCTAAAGAGGATTCCTACCAGGAGGAGAAACAGAAACTAGGAGGGAGGCCCTAGGGAAGGAGGAGTGAGCTGACACTTGGCAGCCTGGCAGATGGACCCAGCTCTGCTGGGGGGCTCTTCAAATTCCTCTTTCCCATCCTCCCCACCCTCACTACCAATGCGGAAGATGCGCACACGCACACCTACCATGTCCTTTATTAACTCTTTGAGACACAGGGAGACTGCCTCTTCCAGAAAACTCTTCTCACAGATCAATCAGGGCTTCTTTCACTGCTTTATAACCATGCAACACTATGGTGGGCTTCAAGCCAAAATACCCAGTGAACACAGGGCCATACACTTTTTTGAGAGCTGGAAAATGTATATTAGCAAAAGAAGTCACAATTTGGTCTATTTTGCTCACGATTAAGATTGTTATCAACATCATGTTGTTGATGTTTTATTCTGCCACACATAACTTCAAAGATTTCTGGATCTTATATATGTATGATAATTCAACATCCATTCATGATTAAAAAAAAAACCTCTCACCAAAGTGGTTGTAGAGGGAACATATCTCAACATAATAAAGCAGAAGACCTAAATAGACATTTCTCCAAAGACAACATACAGATGGCCAACAGGCATATAAAAAGCTGCTCAACATCACTACCTATTAGACAAATGCAAATCAAAACCACGATGAGGTACCACTTCACACCAGTCAAAACAGTTATCAACAAAAGTCTACAAATAATAAATGCTGAAGAGGGTGTGCAGAAAAGGGAACCCTCCTACACTGGCTGCAGGAATGTAAATTGGTGCAGCCACTAATGGAGAACAGTAGCGACTCCTTTAAAAACTAAAAATAGAGTTACTATATGATCCAGCAATTCCATTCCTGGGTATTTACCCAGAAAAAAACAAAAACTCTAATTCGAAAAGATAATGCACCCCAGTGTTCACAGCAGCACTATTTACAATAGCCAAGTCATGGAAGCAACCCAAGTGCCCATCAACAGACAACTGGCTTAAAAAGATGTGGTGTATTTATACAATGGAATATTACTCAGCCATTAAAAAAAAGACCAATAAAAAAATAAATATATATTTTTAAAAAGTGAAATGTTGCCATTTGTAGCAACCTGGATGGGCCTAGAGGATAATATGCTTAGTGAAATAAGTCAGATAAAGAAAAATACTACATCATATCACTTATATGTCAACTCTAAAAAATAATACAGGGCCTCCCTGGTGGCGCAGTGGTTGAGAGCCCGCCTGCCGATGCAGGGGACACAGGTTCGTGCCCCGATCCAGGAAGATCCCACATGCCGCGGAGCGGCTGGGCCCGTGAGCCATGGCTGCTGAGCCTGCGCGTCCGGAGCCTGTGCTCCGCAACGGGAGAGGCCACAACAGTGAGAGGCCCGCATACCACCAATAATAATAATAATAATGAGTTTATATACAAACGAGAAAAAGACTCACATAGAAAACAACTGTATGGTTACTAAGGTGGGGGGGGGACAAATTAGGAGTATGGAATTAACAGATACAAACTAATATACATAAACTAGATAAGCAACAAGGATTTACTGTATAGCACGGGGAATTATACTCACTTTCTCGTACTAGGTCACCAGGAAGGAAGATGGCGGCACCCAAATCGCGGTGTACTTCCCGAGGTGGTGGTTTGGTAACACAGGCGGGTCAAGAGTCTTCCCCTGGTACTGCGTGAGGCCAACTCGGGCGCTCGGGGGTTGCTGGAGGTGCCGAAGGCCCCGGGTCTGTTCAAGGAGTTCTTCCCAGAGAGGGGCACGAAGACAGGGCTCCCAGAGCTCTTGGACGGTGGTATGGCGGGCAACTTTCCCCAGACCATCTACTGCACCTTCGACCCCATGACTCGCTTCCTTTGGGGCATCTGCTGGCACTGTTGGGCCTGTTTCACTTCCACCAATAGGGCCACAAAGCGAGCGCGTCGGGGGGTGGGGGGGGGGGTGCTACCGCGCGCCTGGGAGACCGGAGCGGCGGTACCCGGGCGCACAAGGCCCTGGACGCAAAGCCCGTGCGAAACAACGTGCGCGCCCTGCGCCGGGCGCTCTAGGCTGCTGATGACCAGCAGCTGCTCACTAACTGGCTGACGCGGGACAGCTGCTCGGTGCTGGACAGCTCGGCGTGGTATCAGAAGCAGCACCTGGTGGACTTCTTAGCGGCAGCGGGCGGCCACGTCCGCGCGGCCACGCTGCTGAACCGGCCCAGCGTGCGCACTCGGCTGAAGACCCAGGTGGCGTGAGTTTGGCCGAGTTTTTATACCAGGTGAACCCTGGAACAAGCGTCCTGGGTAATACATGCGGCAAAGCAAACGCCGTTTCAGACGGTCCTAGAGGGTATCGGATGATAACGGAAGGCGGAGTCAGTATAAATCACAAGCAAGTAACGGATCCTGAGAGTGTTTTAGTTGTTGGACAACATATTCTCAAGAATGGACTTTCGTTACTTAAAATAGGAAAAAGGAATTTCTACATTATAAAATGGCTTCAGCTATGATGAAAAATCCTTCCGGTGGTTCAAATTTATCCATCATTCATTCTCAAGACATACGAACGTATAATCTTCGCTTATGCAAATCAAACAACAGAGAATGGAGTATACTCCAGGCCTCACAGCGTGAGTGATTTCATTATTTATATAAGTTGGTTCTGTTTGTGTAGTAGTGGGATATTTCATTTCCTGGTCCTTAAACATTAAGGGCTACCACAGAAAGGCATGATTTCCGGGGTTAATCTCTTTTCATAATTATTCTCCATGAAAAACTAAGTGCTATCTTTCCTATCCTGTCTTTCTTGTTCTTTTGAAGACAAGGAAGAACAATGAAAAAGAGGTAGTATAAGAAATTGTGGGGCTTCCCTGGTGGCGCAGTGGTTGAGAGTCCTGCTGCTGATGCAGGGGACACGGGTTCGTGCCCCGGTCCGGGAGGATCCCACATGACGCGGAGCAGCTGAGCCGCTGGGCCTGCGCATCCGGAGCCTGTGCTCCGCAGCGGGAGGGGCCGCAACAGTGAGAGGCCCGCGTACCGCCAAAAAAAAAAAAAAAAAGAAATTGTAAGGGGGGGACTTCCCTGGAGGTCCAGTGGTTAAGGCTCCGTGCTTATCCTGCAGGGGACACGGGTTCCATCCCTGGTTGGGGAACTAAGATCCCACATGCCAAGCAGCGTGGCCAAAAAAAAAAAAAAAAAAAGGAACTGTGGGTACTTTTATATCAGGTGACTATCTCACTGGATTTTTTTGTTGTTAAGGAAACTAGTACAGTTCTCCTTTAAAAAGGAGAAAAGTTAGAGGAAGCCATATTTGACATTAGAAATTACGGTAGAAAGTTTCCTTTGGAAAAAAAAAAAAGAACAAAAATCAGTACTTGACTTTTCAGGAAGTTTCTAATTCAGTTTTCCAGTCCCTTGCCTGTGTTCCATAGAATTAAATTTACTCACAGCCTTGTTTGTTTTTTTTACTTAGTAAAAAAGGTATCAATGTTTTATAAATTTATAGGCTTTTAGTTTTTAAAGTTTCAAATTCTGCCCCCAGGCAGATTGCAACTTGAGATAAACTGAAAAGTTAAGTAACCAACAAGATAAAATAGAGGATAATCATATGAGTATATCAAAAGATAAAAGGGATAAAGAAATTTCAGGTCAAATTTAAAGTATTTGGAATCAAGACTTAGTTAAATTAAGCTCTACATTCACTAGGCAATTTGATCCTCCAGAAATGTTTCTAAAATCTGAAAAATCAAGGTAATAGTACCCCTGTTTCCCCTGAGGATCAAGTGAAACACGAACACAAAATGTTTTACAATCAGATTTGTTCTAGAAAATCTTACAGGCAGCAAAGCATGGCTTTAGAGTTCAAATTCTAGCCATTTACTACCTGGGGATTACTTGGAGCAAGTCACTATTTTCATATGCAAAAATGGAGATGTAATAATTAGGAAAATAATTAGGAAAAATCTAATAGAGAAAAAAAGCCATAAAACTTTCGTACAGTGTAAGCTGTATTGCTATGTTCCAAAGTAGATTTAAATGTTAGAAAGCCATAGTTTATCCAAACCTTCATCTGGGAGTAAAGTTAGGAAGAATTCATTTATTGACAAACTTTAATGTCACTTCATAGCAGCAATTTTATTTACACAGTAAGAATGAACATACAGGTATCCATTATAAATGTCAGAGATCATCGCTACATTTCAAAACTTCACTCAGTTTGAGGGCCAACAAAAGAAGTTTTTCTCTTTCCATACCTATCTTGCCTCTGTTTTTCTTTGTACAAGGTGTGTAGTACTAGCAAGCGCATTACTGTAGCAGGTCACATTTTCAATTTGAAATTTGATGTGCTGGGGAAAGGTGCATGACGAGGTGTTTTCCCCCTTACAAATTCAAAAAGCTAGAATAGAATGGTCATCATCTGACCTACCTGAAATAAGTAAGTCACGGATTGCTATGATTTCAAAATTGATGTCTAATGATGGCAGAGTAATTTTAAAGTGTGCTAACAAACATCTTGGAAGCCTATATTCTACGAAGATGGTACTACTAACAGATTCAAAGTAGTACCGTATCATATCAGACCGAAACTGGTTTTTTATGTTTGAGATGAGTTGCTGAGCCTATTGTTTCTTAGTAAATGGGTACCGTTAGCTAAAGGTAATGGACATATCCATATTGTTCCTGCCAGTAGTCCTTCATAAATGTCATGACTTTAAAAATTTTAGTATCTACAATATGTAATTGATCTTCAAATTTATAATGTAATTCATATCAAGAACCACCTGGAGAATTTTAGTAAAATGTTTATGTTCTAAACCTCACTCCCAACACCCTGAAAGCCTTTAGGAGTATGTGTATGTGTGTGTCCAGATGTTTTTCTTTAAATAACAAAGCTCCACATTATTTTTATTTAAAAAATATCTTGTGATCATATATAATGGAATATAATCTGCAAAAACAAACAAACTGAATCACTATGCTGTACACCTGAAACTAACGCAATATTGTAAATCAACTATACTTCAATAAAAATGTTTTAAAAGACTAAATATGATGGTGATTATTATATCACTTCTGTTGTGCCGGGCCATGGCCTGGGTAATTGGTACTCAGATTATTACTAATCATCATATCAAAACTTTGAGCTTGATTTATTTACCCTGTTTTATAAAGAGATTAAGGTTCAAAGGCTTTCCTGTTTATTTCCAGTGTCTCACAGTTAATAAATAGAAGACCCCAATTTTTTTTATTGAAGTATAGTTGATTTACTTCAACTATAATGGTGTGCCAATCTCTGCTGTACAGCACAGTGACTCAGTTTTACACATATATACTTTTTTAAAATATTCTTTTCCATTATGGTTTATCCCAGGAGATTGGATATAGTTCCCTGTGCTATATGGTAGGACCTTGTTATATATCCATTCTAAATGTAATAGTTTACATCTACCAACCCCAAACTCCCAGTCCATCCCTCTCCCTCCCCCCAGCTCCCCCTTGGCAACCACAAGGCTGATCTCTGTGCCTGTGAGTCTGTTTCCGGTTCATTTGTGCCATTTTAGATTCCACAAATAAGTGATAACATATGGTGTTTGTCTTTCTCTTTCTGACTTACTTCACTTAGTATGATAATCTCTAGTTGCATCCATGTTGCTGCAGATGGCATTATTTTGTTCTTTTTTATGGCTGAGTAGTATTCCATTGTATATATGTACCACATCTTTATCCATTCATCTGTTGATGGACATTTAGGTTGTTTCCATGTTTTGGCTATTGTGAATAGTGCTGCTGTAAACATAGGGTGCATGTATCTTTTTGAACTATAGTTTTGTCTGGGTATATGCCCAGGAATGGGATTGCTGGATCATATGGTAATTCTATTTTTAGTTTTCTGAGGAACGTCCATACTGTTTTCCTTAGTAGCTACACCAACTTACATTCCTACCAACAGTGTAGGAGGGTTCTCTCTTCTCCACACCCTCTCCAGCATTTGTTATTTGTAGACTTTTTAATGATGGCCGTTCTGACCGATGTGAGGTGGTACCTCATTGTAGTTTTTATTTGCACTTCTCTAATAATTGGTGATGTTAAGCATCTTTTCATGTGCCTACTGGCCATCTGTGTGTCTTTGGAGAATGTTTATTAAGGAGAAGACCCAAATTTCAACACAGCTTAGTTGACCTCTGATGCCTAAGAAACTTATCAGTCCCCAATGCCTACCTTGGAACCAATATCCAGTTGACTGCTTCAGAATCACCTGTAAAGCTCATCCCATGGGAATTCTGACTCAGTAGTGATAAATACTAGAAATCTATATTTTTTAAAACCACCCTAGATGATTCAAATGCCCAGCCCAGTTTAAGATCCGCTAGTATTACTAACAGAAAGAGAGCAAGCATCACAAAGGCAGTGCCAGGACATGCAGCAGCTCATGGAAGAACAGTTTCTTCCATCCTGCATCATTCTTGGTCACAGACAGCAGCTTTGTGCAGAATCCAAGAGGATTTTATTACTACCCAGCTGGCTCTGACTAATTACTTTTTTCTTTCATTCACTCATACTTGTCCTGCTCCCAAGCTATTTCCTTAACATCAGGCATAATTTGCTTCTTCAGAGAAGTTCAATTTTCATAGCTATTCTTAACAAAACACAGTTTATATAATAGACGACTTCTTGAATGAAATCTCTAATCACAAAACATTTCCCTTACCACTTACCTTCAGCCAAAAATCATAGCAAATGGTGGTGAAACAAAGGGAAGAAACACTTCAGTCTTTTGTCACGTTATTGTTTTGATTCAACCATACAAAGACCTAAATGTTTCTCTACTCACAAAATGCATTCCACTATTATTGACAATGACAGACCAAAAGTAATACTCCGAGGGAGTGTTTGCCTTAAATAATATCTTTTAATAATTTTATTTTAATATATTGTAATGTATTTTAATATATTTTAATGAAGATATTTTATTTAAAAGTAGATGTTCATGGGCTTCCCTGGTGGCGCAGTGGTTGAGAGTCTGCCTGCCGATGTAGGGGACACGGGTTCGTGCCCCGGTCTGGGAAGATCCCACATGCCGCGGAGCGGCTGGGCCCGTGAGCCACGGCCGCTGAGCCTGTGCATCCGGAGCCTGTGCTCCGCAACGGGAGAGGCCACAACAGTGAGAGGCCCGCGTACCGCAAACAAACAAACAAAAAAGATGTTCATTTACTTTCCCTTTGCAAGCCACTGGATGAACATAAAACCTACTTACATTGGTTAAGGATTTGCCAATGTCCTTAACATCTAACTGTAGGATATTTCCAAGAATTGGGAGAGGAGTGGGGCCAGTCGGGAGCTGCCCTTTCCCAGAACTCTGTTTCCAGAGTGAGAGGAGAAGCAGACAGGAGAGAGAGGCAGAGTACCAGGACCACAGCCGGATCCACTGGAACCTTCTCTTCTTACTCAGACAGCTGTGAACCTGAAATCTAAAGCTTTTATAACAGTCCCTGCTAATTCAGCTTGTGCCTCTGACTCATAAATTGAACAATCAGCTAGGTCTACTTTAATTTCTCTTTTGAAGGAACTTTAGCCTTGTGATAATTAAAATATGGTGTTCTCTACTCCTGCCCTTTTTTTCAATGCCCCACCTGGGCATTCCAGTTTAAGAGGTCTGGGGTGGAGCCCAGGTACTGGTAATTTTTTTTAAACACTCCAGGTGGTTGACAACCAGTGAAGTAAATCATATGATCAAAAAGTTGCTCAACATTCTGGATTCTCAGATTAGTAACCAGTTAAGAATTTATGACTTTGAGGGCAGTCCTTGTATGTTAAAAAAAAAAAAAGTATATCCTTTAATGCTTTATCAAACACTAATATACTTTGTCCTTGAAAATGAAAGCCTTTTGAGATATTTTAGAGTACCATACTAACATTATAGCTTCCCAAACATAAACCAGCTAACATAACTCATACATTTTGAAGGTCCAAACATGTATCAAGGAAATAGCTAAGTAAATTTACACACATTTTACCATTAAACTCTCCCCCTCCCCTCAGAAAAAACACTAGAAGAAGAAATTTTTATTTTTCAGATGGGGAAAGGGAAATTCAGAGAACAGGAGGTCCGGCCAGTGTCACACAGCTAATAAATGACAAAACTGGGATTTGAAATAATATCCTCTAATGCCCATTGTGGTACACTGTGGCTTACACCACAGCTGCCTCGAGAACAATTTTAGGAAAACAAAACCAAACCCCCAAAACATTAGTTTCTCTGAACATATACCCCGTGAATGTCTACAGAATAACAAGTTTCACACTAAATAGATGTCCGTTACTTGACTGCAAGGATAAAAGGGTTGTGGGTTCTCAAGACATAAAAGATAGGGATTCTCCCCTTCCATCACTGCAGAGGTGAAACTGGCTCAGGTAACTAAGGGAAGGACTAATCTCAGGGGGCAGAGCTTGAGAAACCATGACATCCCCCCCCCTCCCAGTCACCTCCAGATAAATCCGCTTTGGTTGCTTTCTTTGTTCTGTCATTGTCAGAAATAATGGAATGAAGTATGCACAGCAAGGAAAGGAGATTTTGACAAAACAAAAGGTGTGGATTCAGTGGAAGATGGAAGACAGGGACTTCACAGAACAGACTCATGGCCCAGAACCAATGCAACAAGCAGACCTGAACAGGAAACAGCACTTAGTGGTCATGAGGATCTAAATGTCACTGGAATTATATACATTACTAGATCACTAATAGTAATGCTTATACAAAGACATATTCTATAAAGATATCATCATATTTAGTTTTTTACTGAAGTATAGTTGATGTACAATATTATATGTTAAGTACATGTATAAAATACAGTGATTCACAATTTTTAAAGGTTATACTCCATTTATAGTTATTATAAAATATTGGCTGTATTCCCTGTGTGGTACAATATATCCTTGTAGCTTATTTTATACATAATAGTTTGTACCTCTTAATCCTGTACCTTTATATTACCTTACTCCTTCCCCCTTCCCTCTCCACTGGTAACCACTAGTTTGTTCTCTATGTTTGTGAATCTGTTTCTCTTTTGTTATATTCACTAGTACAGGAGTATGTACTTTTCCAGTGGAGTTTTAAGCTGTACTTGAGGGAAGCTTCTATGGAGTCCACAGAGTGCACTGGACATGCTCAGGGAGAAGAAAAATAGCCACCCTATAAGCAGTTCTTATATTTTCCTATCAAGTGTTCTGATTTTCAGAGCTCTAACATACTTTATGCTAAAACTTCTTATTTTTGTTGCTCTGCCTTCTTTGTATTTCCTTTTCAATTCCTAGCTTTTTAAGCTACATTATTCATTGTTTGATTCATTTTCACGTGTTTGTCCTAAGTGTTCAGAAGTATTATATGGTATGAATTTTCTTCATTGAATAATATTATCTCTATTCTACGTATTGTGGGTATATCTGTTGTTAGGATTTTAAAAGTATTGTGGAATATTGTTTTTGGTGCCTTCTTTGATCCAAAGATTGTTTTTTTGGCCACGTGGCTTGTGAGACCTTAGTTCCCCGACCAGGGATTGAACTCAGGTCCACGGCAGTGGAAGCGCAGAGTTTTAACCACTGGATCAGGGAAGTCCCTGATCCAAAGATTACTTAGGAGAGTTCTGAAATCTCCAAGCAGTTGTTTTATTTACTTCACACTTTGTTTTTAATTATCCTGAAATTGGATTACAGGAAATCCATTACACTATTTAATTTTTTTTAAGCTGAGGATCTTTTATAGTCCTTTATAGGACTATAGTCCTTTTGGACTATAGTCTTTTTTTTTTTTTTTTTGCGGTAAGTGGGCCTCTCACTGTTGTGGCCTCTCCTGTTGCGGAGCACAGGCTCTGGACGCGCAGGCTCAGTGGCCATGGCTCACGGGCCCAGCCGCTCCGCGGCATGTGGGATCCTCCCGGACTGGGGCACGAACCCGTGTCCGCTGCATTTGCAGACGGACTCTTAACCACTGCGCCACCAGGGAAGCCCATGGACTATATAGTCTTTTATAGTCCAAAATGGTGAATTTTCATTAACATTACATGGTCAATTGTTATTAACATTTGTTTGACATTTTTAATTGTATCACTCCTTCTTTCTACATCGACCAGAGTTTTAACTGCCTGATGGGTCAGCAGAACATGAGGTATGAATCTCCAGTGATGGCAAAGGATGGCTTTCTCCTTCCTTCATTCATTCAAATGCTCATTCATGTATTCCTCTCACAAAAATGCATGGAGTACTGGGCCCCTAATCCCAGTCAGGCCCTGCCCTGAGCACTGAGGACATAGGAGCAAGTGAACACAATTGCTAAAGAAGGGGTGTGACCCCACATTGGCAATGGGAGGAAGATTTTTCCAGGCTGAGGGTACAGCATGCCTAGAGGATTGGATGGGCCTGCTGGGGCCACAGAGGGAGAAGTGTAAGTAGAGAAAAGAAAATGCCAAGGGCAGGGTGGAGGGTGTGTGAGTTTTCATTGCTTTGGTACTGCTCACTCAACCTTCTGCAGGCATGGTCTGCCCAGTTACCTGTCACAGGAGTGATTCTGGGCAGAACCCAGCTCGGTGATCTCCACAGTGTGGTGTGGTCCAGCTGGCCATGGGAGCAGCTGTATAGGGGACTCTGCTTCAGGCACCACTGTGGAGGAACCACATCCTAGTAGGAATGTGGACCTGGAGCAATTGTGGCAAATGCTGAAGAGTTTCCTGGCAGAATGCACTGACACTGAGACACCCAGGCTCGCTGTCCCTGGATATCAATGGGAGACGGTGGAGTGTGCTGGGATGGGTCAGGTGTTCATAGCTCTCTTGAGTTTAGGCAGAATTTTTCAGGTAGTCAAAGAACGGCTTTCTCTACAGGGAAACAAGGAATCTGCCAGTCAGCAGTTCAGCACAAGCTGTAGCAAAATGTAATGCTCCTGACAAGTTTCATCCTGTGAAGGAAGAGGATGCAAATGCAGAAAAGTCTGGTGACCTGGACTTGTTCAACCCTATGATGAGGAACATCATATGCGTTGTAATAAAACATGCGGGGAAAGAAAATCCTCACTATTCACAACAAGAACGGTTGATATTTGTTCCTGAGGAAAAAAAAAAAAAAAAAAGATCTAGCCTCTGGGAGATGAAACCAATTCTATCAAAAAAAGTGGAAAAAGCTAAATCACAATTAAAACTACTGTGGGCGACTGCGAAAAAGGCTCAAGGTCTCCACTGTGAGCCTGAGTGTAGAGTCCAGTCATGTCTCTGCGGGATGCTCCAAAGTCAAATGCATATTCAAACATTCAAAATAGCAAGAACGATCTATCCTACACCAACATGGCTAAAACAGAGAAGAACAATCTATCCTACACCAACATGGCTAAAAGAGAAGAAAAAGCCCACCTGACAGATCCTCATGAAGGTGTCCAGACTGAAGAATCTTCAATCAAATGGGCAGATCAACATCCTAAGGGGGGAGGAAATGAAATGACTGAGCTTTAACAGAGACAAGAAGAAGAGCGACTTAGAATGACCTGTCATGGCAGATCGTGACTTGGCAGCAAGAAATGGGAAGTTCTGAAGCAAATGACCTAATGATGCGTGAAAATGATGAGCTCAAGACCTACAGGAAACAATTCAAAGATCTCAAAAAATAAGCTGGCAAGAATCGTTTCTTCTTCACAGAGGCAGCCTGTCCGTGGAACTAAAACCTCAGGAGAGTTTTGGAGGGAACTGAATGAAACTTCATCATCTGCAGAGAAGAGGTTGCAAACCTGAGACAAAGAAAAATCCTGTGATTAAACTTGAGCTCCTAGAAGTGGTTCCTTGGACATCTGATGATCCCAAAGGAGCATTTGGCAAGGACCATTTGCTCCCCAATCTCTGTGCATGGGTGCTGCTTCCCTTTCCTCAGACCCTCCCCCTGAATGCCAGGCTGACCTCCCCCTGCAGCTCCGTTCCCCAGCCCATGTTTACTGTGAGTCTAAGGGGAGAGCTCCTGGCAAGAGGATATTCACCACCACCCCAGGAAGCCTACATACACCCCTCTGAATCATATCCTACCAAGGGGTTTTTGTCTGCCTTTTTGTCCACCATGGCCTGGCTTTTTTCCCTGGACACTGCCATTCTGAAATTTGAAGTGTGTTACCTGTGGCCTCCCTCATGACATGAGTCGTAAAAATCCTAATACACTGGTAGACTTTTATGTCACTGAGTTTCTTATTTTCCTGAAAATATTTTGGAACTATGCGTGTATTTAGTTTTAGAATACAAAGCTCACTTTTGGCAAGTGGTTTTACTTTCTTTCATCCTGATACTAATGTATCAGGATCGATTCAGTTTAAGTCATTCCCATTTTATCGTACATCTAGAAATAACAAGCAGTAGATATTTCTTTGATGAGTCAGTTCATTTTTGTTTAAACAATACAATATCTGTGAGCAGTTTAATCCACAAAGACACTTGAAATTAAAAAATACTTTTCTCTGTTAATGTTTCTATCTACCAGTGTTACAAGAAAGAGCTGAAAATTGCTTCTTGGTTTCAGTAAATTATGGTTGTATTTTTAAATGACTAGTGTGTGGTGACTGAGTGGAGAGGGCAGTCTGTGGAGTGGGAGCCCAGCAGGACTGGACCCATCCATGTCGAGTGCCCTCTGGCTGTGGGGAGCTCTGGAAGGGACTGCACTAATTGTAGATGTTCATGAAGAGGGAGGTAGCCTCAGGCTATCACTTCCTGCCTCTGCCCCAACTCAGTTATACTGGAAAGATGGACCTATCCCAATATAATTCCCTCTTCAAAATGGTGTCTTTAGGCTTCACGTGCTGATGTCCTCAGTGGGATCTTGCCCCAAGAGCTTGGGTGGGGGCCTTGGTACTGGAGGACGTGGTATGGAGGCAGCTCTGCCCAGTAGCAGGGCTGACACAGAGTCATGTGTATCCCCAGGGCTGGCACGTGGACGGGTGTGGAAGCAGAGCACACAACTGAAGTCTCAGATATTTGGGCAAAGTGTCTTGAGTCTCAGGCCCAGGCCAGCCCCATGCTACAATCAACAGCCCTGAGTCTGGTCCAGAGCCACAAACACTGCAATATAACCTTTAAAATAAAACACAAATTTTAAGTCCACTCTTGTTAACTAAGTAAAAAAGATAAAACAAAAATTCACCTCAATAGATTTGGGGAAATTTGGAAGAAAATCATTACCATCATTATGGAAAAAAACCCCAGCAAAATTGGAATAGAGGGAAAGCTCCTCCATTGATAAAGTACATCTGTAAGGAGTCTTGAGTTAGCACTGTCTTTATCAGTGAAACATGGAAACATTTCCCCACACTAGGGAGAACAAGGCAAGCACTCATCACCTCTACTCAACGTTAGATAGTGGATTTAGTAAGTGAAGTATGGCAAAAAAAAAAAAAAAGAAAACAGAAAAGAACACTGAAAAAGAAGAAGTAAAATTTTCCTTCTTCACAAAAGATATGAATTTATAGGTAGAAAACCTGAATTTGTTTGTAAAAACTACTTACATTAAAGTGTACCTGATTTTTCCCTCCTAATAAACACTTTACTTGTTTCACTAAAACAATTAAAATAAAAATAAAAAAATAAAACGTACCTGGGATTTGTTTTAATCAGGTATGGTAAGACACGCAGACACAGAAATGGCTGTCATGAAGGAAGAAATTGTTGCCCACAGCTCGCTAGATACAGGAGGCACAGCACACCAGGCGGGGCCACATGTGGACGCTCCCTGGTTGGTCAGGAGGCAGAAGCGGGGTGAAGGGAAAGCATGGGCGAAAGCCTTTATCCTGGTTTTAGTGGGAAGGAATGAGCAAGACAGGGTAGGTATGATTAGTAAGCTTAAGATTAGCTGTTTGAATAATTTCAGCAGGCTCCAGGGTGTAGGTACTGCCCCTTGCTGCCATGAAACTGGCAAACTATGTTATTATACACAGGTATATGAATTTCAAGGAAGGGAAAAATTAATCTATAGAAATAGAAAAGTATTGTTTTAGGACAATTATGGACATTGATGGACTGGATCGGACATAAGGGGACTTACAGGGGTAATGATAATGTTCTATATTTTGATCAGATGGTTGTTACATGGGTGTTAGCATTGATCAAAACTCATCAAATTGTACAGTTAAGATATGTACAATTCCGTGTTGCTAAATTTCACCTCAATAAAAAAGAAATTATGTTTCTATATTGTATTTTTTAGGTATGTTGACATACAACATTATATTAGTTTTCGGTGTACAACATAATGATTTGGTATTTGTATGTATTGCAAAATGATCACCACAATAAGTCTAGTTAACATCCGTCCCCATACATAGTTACAGAATTTTTTTCCCCATAATGAAAACTTAAAGACTTACTCTCTTAGCAGCTTTCGGATATGCAATACAGTATTATTATTATTTTTAAAAATAATTTTATTTATTTTTGGCTGCGTTGGGTCTTCGTTGCTGCGTGTGGGCTTTCTCTAGCTGCGGCGAGCGGGGGCTTCTCTTGTTGCGGAGCACGGGCTCTAGGCGCGCAGGCCTCAGTAGCGGTAGAGCACGGGCTTAGTTTCTCCGCGGCATGTATAGTCACCATGCTGTACAGTACATCCCCATGACTTTTTTATTTTATAACTTAAGGTTTGTACCCTTTGACCACTTCACACATTTTGCCCTACCTGAGCCCCCACCTCTGGTAACCACCAAACTGTTCTCTGTATCCAGGAGTTTAGTTGTTTGGGTTTTTTTTTTTTTGTTTTCTGTTTTAGATTCCACATATAAATGAGATTATATGGCACTTGTCTTTCTCTGACTTATTTCACTTAGCATAATACCCTCAGGGTCCATCCATGTTGTTGCAAATGGCAAGATTTCATTCTTTTTTTATGGCCAAATAGTAATCTCTTGCATACATAGACCACATTTTCTTTATCCATTCATCCTTCAGTGGACATTTAGGTTGTTTCCATATCTTGGCTATTGTAAATAATGCTGCAGTGAACATGGACATTCAATAAATGTCATAGAATTTCAGCCCTTGTGGGGAACTGCTTGGTTATTCCATAAAAAGGCCTTAGATCAATGTTATAAACTCCTTACTAGCCACAGAAATCTTGTTTTTAAATTTTTAACATCAATAATTTTAGAAGGGGTGTGTCCTCACCACTTTATATGAGGCCCCAATATTTCCAATTGTCTTCATTCATTCTCTTTACTCTCCTAGTTCCTGCCTTGATCACTAACCTAATCAGAGACACCCCTTGGTAGATGCCTGGCTCATTTATGTAGGATGGTAGAATGGAAAGGATTCAGTACAGGAAGCCAAGAGATCTTGGTTCTGAGTCTGGCTTCTGCCCTGTCATCTTTGGGAAGATTGCTTTCTTCTCTAGCCTTAGTTTCCTTATCAGTAAAATGAAGCCAGGAGACTTCTTGTTCTCTAGGGTCCCTGAACAGAGGAATGATATATAACAGAACTCTGGCAGGAATTTTGGTAGTCAGTAACCATATGATCAGGGTTTTAAACGCTTT